CATGATCTCAATCAAGCATATACAACAGGTCAATTATTATATGATGACAGCACTAATCTTCGTTATCTTGATTGTAAATATAACTATAGTTCTTATCATTTGGCTAATACATTCTTTTCTTTATCATATAATAGATGCTGTTATTGAACAACAAATGTCAATGACTGGTGCAAGTATGTTTTGGCTTGATGCTCTTCATGATTGTAAACTCGATCACCCCTTGTCATTACCATTTGATCGATATCGTCTCTCAAATGAACATCGAACTGGTCGTGGAACAACTGTTTCTTTTGATTTTGGTCAAGATCTCTCACATGATTTTCTCATTTATGCATCATCGAATAGCATATCACTTGAACAACTTGCACTTACTACCTATTATGTGTTTTTATTCAAATTAACAAATGGAGAAAAAGATTTATGCATTGGAATAAATACACATGGACGATACAGAGATGAACTCAGCTCTATCATTGGAATGTTTGTGAATGCTATACCCTTGCGGTGTCGACTCGATCCTCATTTATCATTTCAACAAGTCACTAAGCATGTCCCAGATATTATGATAAACTGTGTTAAATATTCATATTTTCCTCTTCAACATATTCTCAATCAACATCCAAATATATCAAATCCTGTATTTCTTGATACATCGTTTGAATTTTTATCAGCTATGACAAAAGATGAGAAAAATGAAATGATGCTTGGTGATAGCCGATTTTCTTTACTACCTTATTCAATTAAGATTAGTGACTATGAAGTAATGAGTAAATTTGATTTTATTCTTAGTTTTCAACATGATCTGCATCGAAATGAATTTTCATGCACTATCGATGCTTCACTTGATTTATTCAATGCTGAAACAATTTGTATAATTGCACAAAGATTACAGACAATGTTATATCAACAATTCACATCTTTTGATAGTCAAATGAACAAATCTATCTATGAAATATCATTAACATTATCAAATGAACAATATCTAATGCAATCATTGAATAATACACAAATATCATTTTCATCTCCTCTCACCTGTATTCATCATGAGTTTGTATATCAAGTAATGAAACATCCACAAAAACTGGCTGTTGAACTAGATGAACAATCATTGACATATTGTGAACTCCTGTATTATGTTCAAGTGTT